CCATTTTCCTTAGTATCTTCTTGATGTTCTTGTTGGCAGCTTCCACGACTCTGTTCATTTGAGGCATGTATACTGTGGAATTTTTGTGCTTGATTTTGAAAGATTCACACATGGCTTTCATTAGATCACTGTTGAGATGGCGGCGTTATCAGTGATGATGGACTCGAGAACCCCGAATCGACAAACAATACGATCCCTGACAAAATCTGCGATGACTTTCTTAGTTACCGCTTTGTAGGACGCAGCTTCAACCCACTTAGTGAAGTAATCGATGGCCACTAAAATTAACATGTGCCCGTTCGAAGCAGTGGGTTCGATTGGACCAATGACATCCATTCCCCGGGCAGCAAAAGGCCAAGGTACACTTGTTGCATTGAGTTCGTTTCGCGGCATCCGTATCATATCTGCATGTATCTGCATTGGTGGCACTTCTGGACATACCGGATGCAATCTGTTTCCATAGTCATCCAAAAGTATCTGGCCCTGAGTATCTTCTTGGCTAGAACTAAACCGTTCATATACGGGCCGCAGGTTTCGGCATGTATTTCCTCGAGAAATTTGGAAGCTTCTTTGGCGTCAACACACCTTAATAGTCCTAGATCAGGTGTTCTTCTATACAAAATTCCTCCGCTTTGGAAGAAATGATTGGACAGCCTCCGCAGAGTGCGTTTCTGAGCATGGTTCGCCTGCTTTGGGTACTCTTCTTTTGCCAAATATTCCTTGATGTCGTGGAACCATGGATTTCCATCTGTTTCTTCTTCGACATGAGCATAGTATGCCGGCTGATTGTGGATTCTCACCAGAATATGATCGATGAACTTTTTGTCTGGATGTTGTATCATTGAGGACAGGGTGGCCAATGCGTCTGCAAATTCATTCTGGATTCTGGGGACATGCCGGAATGTTATCTTTGTGAACCTCTTCATCATCTCTTGTATGTGATGTAGATATGGCAGTATCTTGGTGTTTTTCGTAGCCCACTCTCCTTGTACCGGATGCACCAGCAGGTCTGAGTCACCGATTACCAACACTTCTTGAACATTCATGTCGACGACCATATTGAGCCCTAATATGTAGGCTTCATACTCAGCCATATCATTCGTGCATGGAAACCTGAGTTTTGCGGGCACCGGATAGTGCTGACCGGTTTTCGATACCAAGACGGCTCCGATACCGACTCCCTTGAAATTTGCAGCTCCATCGAAAAATATTCTCTAACCGTCATAGGCTTCAGCAATGTCCTCTCCTACCAATGACACTTTCTCGTCAAGAAAATACATTTTTAGTGGTTTGTATTATCCTCCTATAGGATTTTCAGCAAGATGATCTGGAAACGCTTATCCTTTGACTACCTTCTGAGTTACATAGATGATATCGAACTCACTCAGCAATATTTGCCACTTGGCCAGCTTCCCGGCAGGCATAGGCTTCTGAAAGATGTACTTCAGAGGATCCATCCTTGATATGAGGTATGTGGTATAGGCACAGAAGTAGTGCCTTAATTTCTAAGCTATCCATGTCAGAGCACAGCAAGTGCGTTCCAGCAGAGAGTACCGTGCTTCATAAGGTGTGAACTTCTTACTCAAGTAATATATGGCTTGCTCCTTTCTTCCCGTCTTGTCATGTTGTCCCAAAAGACATGCAA